AACTGGCACTTAGCTTAATTAATATTAATGCAGTTTTGTTACCTGCAAATCTGCAGTTGGTGGGACAGTGATTATCTGCATTGTTTACTACCATCCAGGTCAGCAGAGATTGGTTTGAATCAAGACTAGTAAAGCCACTGGGTTGCAAGCCTTATTTCAAAGCACTGAATTTTAATCACTTCAAAATCAAAAAAAGTGCTTTTGAGTGAGATTGAGGGTGGGGGTAGGGGTGGTTGAAGCACATGCCCACATGTATGTAAGATATTTAACATTACCTACAGTTCATATGGCAATCCTTGTAATGTTCTTGACTTTTAACAAGTCCTGGAGTCTGTGTTGCTCTGCCATTTGTAGTGGATTGTGTAAAATTCTGCCTCAAATAAATATGAAATATGCCTGTGCAAGATTATTTACAGTTTTTCAGTATCCTGATAGGGCACATCAAGCTGCCGTAGTCCATCTAGCCCTGTATTGTTCACACTGTCTGGCGGGTTTCAAGCAGGATTTTTTCCAGGAACTGAACCCAGGGCTTTTTGAATGCAAAACAGGTCCCCTGGCACTGAGCCACAGTCTCTCCTTTCTCTGAAACACTCAGGGAGCCATATATGGTTCCTCCTCCTCCTCTTACAGACCAGCCTTCCACAGCTTGGCTGCCCCATGGTGTGCTGGGATACAACTCCCATCACCCCCAACCAGAATGGCCCTTGCAAGGCTGATTTGACCAAGACCACTAAGTGGTTGAGCAAGGATTTCAACCCAGTGTCTCCCTGCCCAAGTTCCAACATGGTAGCTATAACAAATCTGTACAAAGAAAATACATTGAGATAGCTTTTTGATCCCATAGTAATTTTCTGCTTCCTCTCAAAATACTTCTGTGTGAGAGAGATTACAGAATGTGCCTTTTAGAGGTCGTTGTGATCCATTGCATGCACCTTAAACTACCCTTTTCAGTGAGGTATGCAACAGCCATCCTGCAGTGATACTGCCTGTGGGTTGCATGCAGAACATCTCAAGGTGCCGTCCTGCTTAGCCGAGGTGGACAAGACTGACATTTCTGTAACTGGGTCTTATGTGTTGCTTTCTGCTTCAAATAATTCATAGTCTCCAAATTTAAAATACATGCTTTTTCCCCTCGTTGCGGCTGCACCATTAACAGTGAGGTCATTAGAGCAAAGAAGCAAATCATTTCACCTCTCCACTCATCTATTAATTGTCAGTATATTTGGTTACAGTAAACTGTTCACGAAGCTAATAGATCCTCGCATCGGCATTTGCCAGTCTTTTGTAATTAATGAAAGACTTTTGTTGCAGTTCTAATAAATGTTTATGTGAAGTGGTTGAATGCTTAAGTGTTATGCTACCCGAGCACTGTTTGCTTCCATGTGACCAGTCTGGTTAGGAGGATACCCTACTTGAGGACTAGCCTCATGTCTGCAAAGGGCTAAGTTGCGCTCTTTATTGTTAGCACTGGATGTGGCAAAGTAAGTAGATTCTTGCTTCCCTGTGCTACAAGTAAACAGCTGTAATTTTAAAGCTAAGCCCTAAATGTTAATTACAAATAAGTGCATGCTTCGATATGCACTTTAAACGTAAATATGCGACTACCAAAGGAAAAGACAAATGAAGGACTCGCAGTGTTAATAGTCAGTCGAGTGCCAGATTTAGAGAATGTAAATGTAAGCACCTGCAAGTTTGATTTGAGTTCTCTGTGAAGGTCGTTTGCTTTGTGCCAGGTATTAGAGGAAGTCGAGAATGGGGCTGGTGGGGAGAGTCCTGCTCTGCTTCTGGTTGCCTCTGACGTTAGGCACTAAGGGGGAGTGGGTGGGCAGCGCTGGCTGTTTGGGTGATTGACAATTGATCAACAGTGGCTCCTTGGCTATTTAAGAATAAAAGCAAAAATCCCTCCCTCCAATGTAATGCTGAAATGCTGTAATGAAGAAAGTTCAGCCTAAGTCTGGCTAAGTTTTTGTGTGGAAAGACTGTGAATTCTGCTCAGTTCTGGCACTCAGAACAATATCCCAAGCTCAGTATTTTTGAATTGTAAATGTGTGTCTTTTGTACCAGGCTTTAGTTAGTGGATCTTGGGGTTCTAGTGAAATGTTAAAAAAGCAGCTCCTACAATTCTTTCTGGGAACCGATCCAGCTAAATGAACAGGTAGTAAAACTTCAAATTAATAAGCCAACCCTGAAATTGGTTCACCTCAATGAACCAGGCATGGATCAGGCAGTGAGGAAATAGCTATTCTCAAAGCTCTGTCTGTCTGTCTGAGATTTAAATTCTGCCTTTATTCTTACAATAAAGCCAGAATGGCTTTCCTTCTCCTCTCCTCTATCTTATCCCAACAACAACAACCCTGTGAGGTAGGTTGGGCTGAGAGTATGTGACTGGCCCAAATTACCCAGTTGCTCCATGGCTAAGTGGGGACTAAAAGCCCGATTGCCTGAGTCCTGGTCCTACACTCTTAATCGCTACACCACACTAGCTCTCAGTATGAAGTGATAAGTTGCCCCTGCTTTTCCCTTTAATCTTCTGCACATATCATGCTTGAGACAAGCCAGTAACAAGGATGATAGAGTGGAAATTTGGGTTGCTGGTAATACTGGAAGAGGCAGGATGCAAGATGACTTTTCTGAGCATGATTGGCACTCAGTTTTAACTTTTTCTTTGAATGGAACAAAGGCCAAGGGGGAGAACCACATTGGTTCGGCTTACGGTGCTGCTCCCACACAAGCCACGTGGGCAGCACAGGGCTTTCTCACTGCCCCTTCTTCGGTGAGAATGCTGACTGAAGGTTGTCTGTTTGCAAAGGACTAGGAACTGCAGCAAAACGCCAGATCAGAGTTCAGCAGCTGGGGCCCTGGTAGCATGTTCCGAGTTGTATTTTTCATTTAAGGTTTTTGGCTTGGACTCTTCAACTGAGATGCCAGCTTGGCTTGCAACTGCAGCACAAGTGTGCAGCTCATTAGTACTGAGGGTAACTCCCTTCCCAGCTAAGGCTAGCTCAGACTGTCAAACAGCACTGACTCATTTGGTGACATGATGCTTGGGAATATTAGAGTAAATATTTATGATTCAGTGCACATGAGAAATTTGCTTTACCTTCTGTTTACAGCAAACCATGTTGGAATGAAGGTGCTGAAGCATTTATTTTTGGAGTTTTGAGTTTCGATAGGGCTTTCTGTTTGTTTTTGGAGGAGTGAAGATTCTTTCAGGCAAACGGTTCCCCACCCCTAATTTTTTCATGCAGACCAGCTTGTTATAGACCAGAGCACATAGGAACTCTTTTGTTCCTGTGCTTTGCAGCCCGTTGCTTATAAACTCTGCTGTGCGGGTCAAAACAGCAACAGCAACCAGATGGATTTGGTCCATGGCTTGGCTTCTTTAGCTGTAGCAAGATTGGTCAACCCTGCTCTTCCCTTGTTACTAATGCAAACTCAGAAGTGGATTGGTGTGTTAGCATGTTAAGACATTAACGGTGTACAGATTAATGGTCTACAAATATACTCTGACAGACTCTTGGATGGGCCAAATCCCATTTTCAAGTACATGAAGAAGTTTGCTATATATTAGGTAGGTGAGAAACTCCTCAGATGTTACATCCGCTCTGAAGACCACTTCACAGAGGATGAATTAGCACCAAACATTGTGTGGGGGCTGCCTGTGTTGAGGGATGATGAGCCAGATGAGCTGGATCCTGAGCCCCCAAGGGAAGACAGTGGTTGACTCTTCCCCTTGTGATAATTAGCCTCCTCTTCAGCAGCCAGAGGCTGACACCAGGAAGCCAGGGGCTCAGGGACTTGGCTGGCTACCAGATGCAGCAGCGTCCACCGGGGGAATGAGGGCCCCTCAGGAGTAAAAGTATATTTGTGAGCAGACCATTCTGCAGGTGGCGCTGATAGCCTACGGAAGTGCTCTGGGCAAGCTTCTCGGCATGGAATGCAGAAACGGTGTCTGCATTCTGTTCTGTCTTTGAACAAACTATTGGCCTTATCTTTAGTACTGAGCTTGAATAATTCCCTGGACCTCTGTCCCTCCACCACAATGAACAAGACATGGGAGATAGTCTGGGGGCACACAATATAGCAGTCTTGCCTGGAAGCTAAGCAAGCCTATGGTTTGGTCATTGCATGGACAAGCAAACATCTGGGAACACCATAGGTTGTGTTTAATGTGGAAGTAAAGTGAGAATCCAATAGAGTAAGAAAATAAGCAGGAATATCCGAAAGTAACCCTTTGCAATAGGGCACTTTCCAGATGTGTTGAACTAGAAGACATGGTTCTCAGCCAGCCCGATGGCTATTGATGACGTGTGTTTTAGTCCAACAATAAACCTGGAGTGTGCCAGGTTGAGAAGCACTGCTTGGGAGAGGTATAGAGAAGAAATAAAAACATATCTCTTGGCCGCCTTTCAGGGCAGGAGCCCTTGCAAGGCAGCATACAACAATAAAACTCACATAATCAAAACCGATTTGGTAATAACAGAAAAGCCAGCAAAAATTGGAAAGAACAACAAAGAGCTGTCAGGCCCAAATGCAGTGCAAGGAAGGCCAGAATACAAATGAATGCAAGCTCTGATCAGAGTGGGTATAAATCTATTCCAACCAGCATATAAAGTGCAGAGGAAGAAAAACAAATACCTGAAGCGGGACTCTTACTTTCTCATGCAGTGGCTCTGTTCCATGCATGACCTTGTCTAAGCTGGATGTCTCTGGAATGATCCAATATTTGAGGAGTAGAGATAGGGGAGTCTCTTAGCAAACAGTGAATATATGTACTAAGAAAACAAAGGATCTTACACTGCTGCTTTTTCCTGAATTTCTGTTTTTCTTTTCCTACAGGCAAATGAGTGGAATAAGAATGATGACCGTCTACTCCAAGCTGTGGAGAATGGAGATGTGGAGAAAGTGGCATCTCTCCTGGGTAAAAAGGGAGCCAGCGCCACCAAACATGACAGTGAGGGGAAAACAGCGTAAGTAGTTAATCTAAAATAGAGCAAAATCCCATTTGCAGTAAACTTTTCATATTGTAAGTTAGGACTTCATACCCTCAGGTGATTCCAGCCTTAGTTCTAAAGCTGCAACTCTGTGCTGTGCAGATTCCAAGCACATCTTTTTTTTTTTAATCAGGAAAAACAACTTTTCCTGGGATAGGCCTCCTACCTTGTATCAGACACAAATATTTTAAATCAGGGTTTAAAAGTGCATTTTCTGTAGAACCATAACTGTGACTGCTTTGAAGTAGTGATTAACCTTTTGTTATCAATGGTGGGAAACATCTAGGGGTCATTGTCATTTCCCCCACCTACAGAACCCTCCAGAGTCCACACCCTCCACTGAACTTGCTGCACTGAAATTGTTGCCACTGCAGCAGCAACACCCCCTGAAATTTCGGATTTCCTTTGCACCTTGTCTCTTGCACTGTTGTGAGAAGGGGTTGCTGCTAGGTAAGTGGCAGGGGACCACAAAAATGGCCATATGTAACCCAGCCTGGCTTTATTTGAAAACTCTGCCCAAAGGAGGCTGGTGTAAATGCAGCAGGTACTCCAGTCGCCCTAAAGTGTGAATCAGCTCCAGCCCTGATGCAAATCACATGCAGTGTTGAACATTGGATTATTTATCTGCACCAGTGTAATTGGAAGTCATGAACTGCAGTATATGAAGATGTATCAGCATAACTTATCTGGAAGAAAGCTGTTTATGGCAAATGTGTGATACAACAGAGTACGCTGAACCCATTATGAGAACAATATCTTCTTTGGTAATATTTTTGTGTAGAAAGCTGTAGCATCTGTATGGGATACACCATGGTATAAGTTAGGAGCTGATCGGGCTTAACCTTAAACTAGAATTGCTTACAAGCAGGCTTGAAAAAACCACTTCAAGCCCTGTTTGGTGGGTGATCTGTGCTGGTACTAAGTTAGAGGCAGGGTTGATGTGATGATTTGGCTAAAACAAGCGAGGGAAAGTAGAGGAATTTATGCAGGGAGAGGGGCAGGTCCAAGGAAGGTCTACAGCTCCTAGCACATCCCAGTCAACTATGCCAGCTGCAGCACACTGGGAGTTGTAGATATTTTTTTTTTGTCTAAATGTGCATAGGCCTTTAGATATAGGTCTTCAAAGTGCAGGGGTATAATTGAATGTACAAAACGAGGTGCTCAGACAGTGTTGGGGGTGGACTGAAACCTTCTGCAGCTTCTACCATAGTATTTATTTATTTAAAGCTTTTATATACTGTTCATTTAGCAAAAAAGCTCAAAAGGGACAGTTTGCATCCTTCCAGGGTTATTTTCTGCACCCACTAATACAAGTCTTCCAAGCTGGGGAAAGGGCTGTCAGGGTTGTGGGGCAGGGAGGCAGAATAGTAAATCATGGTAGGGAGCAGGACTGGTGGAAGATTATCCTTTGGCAAATGACTTTGGGGTATCAGTTGCACCCCACTCTGCTTCCCCTTTCTCTGATTGAGGCAGATCCACCATTTGACACAGTTCTCCAACCATCCATCACACGACCCGGTTGTTCTGTTTTTGTTGCATAACACAAAAAGGGATTATTCTGCCATTTAAGAAATGCACATTGTGAATCTAGATCTTAAAATTCTTAAACAGCAGTGTGTGTTTCTTTTTCCAAGTTAAGGTCTGATGCCTGTGTGCGGAGTTTGTGTCATGCTTTTAAAAGAAAAGGCAACATAAGATTTTTGGCATTTAATCTTATAGCTGTAGAAAGAATCGATTTACTAGGCAGTTGAAAAATGGCTTACTGTTTCGCTATCCCTTGAGAAAACAGAAGGCTTGTAAATTGCGGGCAGATGGGAAAAGAGAGGAAGCAACCATGGGAGGATGCTGGGCAGTTTATGGCTAACTGTGAAACTGGAAAGCACAGTCTTGTGATTGCGTTTATGGAGCTGTACTCTTGCTTAGTCTGCTTATGTTTGGCTGCCTTGCTTCAATTTCTGTTTGGATGAAAAAACCTGACTTGAAGCCTGTTCTGTAACATTAGAATTGCTGCAATAAGATGTCCTCCCTATCTTAATCTGACCTTAAAGGAACTGCCTGCCCTTTTCCTTTAAAAAAAAGTGAGGGGCAGAAAAGGAATTGGGGTTTTGTAGATTGCCTTCTCCAATCAGGTGTCCTCCAGGTGTATTCTTTGACAGCCTCTCTCCCTCCCATCCAGCATGTCAAAAGGTTTGGGAACTGCCTTTCTAAGAGGACTAAAGCTACAATCCTGTGCACATTTACACTGCAGAAAATTGTACAACTCTCCGCATTCCCTAACTATCCTGACTGCCTGAGAAATGCTGAGCTGAAGGACATTTTGTTCCATCAAAACTACCGTAAGATTGCACACTAAAGCACATAAAATGTAAGGTGTTCCCTGGTGTTTTGTGCATTACATTTCTTACCACAGAGGTGCAGAATCCGCAGCTGTTTGTGTAGGCCATGAAACTATCAGGACGCCAGCCTGCTTTTTTTCCTAGCTGCCAGCTTCTTCCCTCTGCCCTGCCCTCTTTTTTGGCAGGGAAAAACATTTTCCTTTGATCAGGATGGTAGAAGGGGATGTCACTGCATCTGCTCCTGTACCATGCTACTGATCCTGTGCAACGCTTTCCCTCTCTTCCCCCTGCCCCCAGCAATAGTGATTAAAATCCTTCAAACGTGTGTTCTTTGTTACATGCAATTACGATCACATCTATTTTAGCCCAGAGCTAATTTTAGTTTCCAATAATAACAGGGAAGTCAACACTGCTGAATAGAGGGGGATCTCCAAGCTGGAAAACACTAAGTTGCAAATGATGCAAGAAAGTTGGCAAATTTCCTAAAAGCCATTGCTGGAATGTCAATGGGGTTAAGATTCATCTGTTATCAAGAGCAGATAATGAATGACAGGCCCGTACAGTCATTCATAAACTTACCTGCACAATCAGTCAGATGAAGGGTAGAGGCGGGCCTCCATCATTGCGCTGAAGCTCCCCATTATGTTCTCTCAATCACATACTGGAGTCTTGAAGTGGGGAGCCTGCCCAGCGCGTGTCTGCTGCCCTCGCAGTGTAGAACCAGGATTACAAATCATACGAGAAACCTGCAGACAAAGTGCAGGCTTCAGGCCTTTCATCCCAGCCTGGGGACAGCTGAAGAACGTGGTGGGGGTGCGACAGAGGAGTGGAGGCCTTTTCTGAGGTTTACTGGCAGCAAGAGCTTTAAGCTCTAAGATGCTGTGCTTTTGAAGGCTTGGGCCCTGCCCCTCCTCTCTTGCCCTCAGCTCTGCCCACCACTGGAATATGGCCCCTAAAGCCTTCTCCAAAGTTGGATTCAGTGCTCTAGCAGAAAGAGCTTCAATACTCTTGCCTGCCGTGTGTAGGATTCCTGTGAACAGGAGAGATAAACCTTGTTGGGAACAGCCATACCAGAAGCCATTCTGGGTAACATACATATATAAACAAGCTTTAATGGCCCTTCTGCACATTGTGAAATCAGATGGTTTGGACCTCTTTATTTACCCAGTATTTTAAAGTTTAAAATTTAATTATGTTTTTATCCTCAGTCATGGGTTATTATGATGTATTTATTGAGTGATTTATTATAAGCTGTCCAGAGACGTGCAGTAATTGGACGGGTTAGAAATACTCATGATGATGATGATGATGATGATGATGATGTTGATGGTAGGTCGGATGGTACAACTATGAAACCATATCACAGACTTTGGGGGGGGGGTCCTTTTTTTTTTAATGTAGTAAAATAGCATGTTGGAAATAGCAATTCAGTGTAGTTTTAAAGTAATTAACCCTCTTTATGACACGCAGGGTGCTTTTTAAGGAAGGAATATAATAAAAAACAGATTCCTGCTGCAGCCAGTCTGATTATAATAAGGTTCAGAATTTTACCATCTCCCTTCTGCATAAGGTGTGAATAATTTCTTAGGCCGAACTGATGCAGGGAGAAGAATGAGGTGGCACAATGGACTCTAAATGAAGGATAAACATTTTAATAGTCCCTTGGTTTACAAAATGCACATTCTCTCTAAAGGGAGGAAATGAGGACATTGAGGTGGGGGTCTGAGGTTTGTCCTTCTAGTTTTCTGCTTTGTTGCTGTGCTTGTGTGCCATCAAGTCATCGCCAGCTTATGGTGACCCTATAAACAAAAGTCTTCCAAAGTGCCTTGTCTGGGGCAGTCTTTCTTGGCTCTTACAAAGTTTTATGCTTGCAGGTCATTTTTTAACATAGATAGTTTGGAAAATTTATTCCCTATTTGCAGTCTTTTGTTATGCAGCCCAGTCTACAAGTCTCTGTTGTTCTGCTCTTGGTCACAGACAGCTTGTGGATCTGAATAGCTTTTATTAGTAGATTGGACACAAAACCACAGATCTGTGGGTCATAAACACTTCATGGTACATGGATGCTATGCTCTGGAGGTCTAAGAGAAGCGTTGAATTCTGCCAAACAGTGCAAGGCCTTTGATGTTTAATTTTAATGTTGTCCAGTCTTCTCTTATGCTGAAACAAAGGATAGATTTATTGATCCCATCACTGACTTTCTTCTTGATGTGCATGTGCTTACATAATTGGTGTGAAGGAACAAACAGATCAAAAGAGATCAATGGAGTATGTTATGTAACTGATTTGCTCAGAAGAAGCCAACATTTTTATTGAGATGAGATAGGTGTAACTTTGCCCCTTTTTCTAAAAACATTTCCTGGTGGTAAAAATGGACTTTATCTTTTGCACCACTAACCTTGATCCAATTGCCTGTTATGATCATTGACCCTGTGAATGAGGTAGAATAGGGAGACAAGAAGCACTGCCTCTTGTACACAGTATTTATTTCCTTTCATATAAGGACATTTTCTGTGCAGGTCTTCTTTTAATTTAAGCATTCACAGCGTTTTTATCCTGCTCTTCAGTCAAAAGGATTGCAGTGTAGCTTATAAAGAGCAATAATTAAACTAAAAATATTTAGAGCACTTGGTCTCCCCCCCCCTCTCTCTCTCACACACACACACACACACACACACACACACACATAGAGCGGGGGTTGGGAAGGATAAGTGACAAAAAGCACCCACAAGATGCTTGATTTAGTTGCCTAGATGGCTGGAAATAAACTGATTCTATAGCAGGTTTGCATTGGTTCTTTTAGCTTTCTGGGCTGGCCTGTTCCCATTTTCTCTTCTCTTTTGCAGTTTCCCTACTTTTGCACTCAAGATTAATCTGTTTCTTCTCCCATCCCTTCAGGGCAAGCTGTTTCCTCAGGAAGAGAGGAGGGGAGGGCCATTCCTGGGAGCTAAATGATGGCAGTTTGCCAAGTTGCATTTACTTCTCCTGAACATATAGCTCAAAGTAGTTGGTTCCTGGGCTACTTGGAATAGTTGGGGCAAGAACTATTAATATCCTTTGCATATTGGCAGTGTCCCTGGCCCAATTCAGATGCTACTGGTATGGCAGGGTTGCTGCCTTCCCATGGTTTGATTCCACACAAATATTGTCATTCCCTGTGGTTGAATCGCATCATGTGTTGGTGACATCAGATGATGGATTCACGCAGAGCATGAACCCTTTCCCTGTGGTTACACTAGCCTCTGGCAAGAACTCCCCAGACCTCACTGAACATGTAGAAGCTGGAGGCCTAAGTGTATGTTTTGAGTATTTAAGCATGCCCTAGAATCATCCAGATGCCAGCTTCTTCTGCCTCTTTCAAGCAAGCAGCAGGTAGATAATTTAGTGCATGTCTAGATATGCTGGAAGAGCTTCCATGACTTTTTGAAGAATTTATAGAGAGCTGCAGCTGGCTTCTATGGCTTTCTAAACAAATCCAGTATGTTGCCTGTAGGGATTTGTCTTCATATGACTCAGATCCCACTTATGCCACTGGAGAGAGAGGTGTTGGTGGTTTATGTGAGTTTAGAACAAGATACACCTTGGAAAGGCATGATAATTACTGTTGAATGTATGTGACATGCAAGTCTCCTACATATTTACCTATATTTTGTTGATATATGGCATTGTAAGGCAGGTAAGGTAAATTTGCAGGAGATGGATAGGGAGCAGGACTTCACTGTGCATGCTGTAAAATAAAAGGAGAATCTATAGCTTGGTGGTAGAACATGTACTTTGCTCCTGGAAGGTCCCAGATTCAATCTTCTGTATCTCCAGACTAGATTCTGTGTATCCAGCCTGGCTCAATATAAAAAAGCTTCCTGTGTTCCTGTGAACTTAATACTGGGTGGATGCAGTTAAATCCTGGTTTAAGAGAGAGGAAAGAAGGGAGACTTTTCAAAGGACTGAGTAGTTTGAGGAAGGACCACAGCTGCCTGGTAGAATGCATAGTTTGCACAGAGAGGGACCCCAGTAAAGCGTGTTATTTTTTCTCCATTTTAATTTGCAAGAACAGGAATTGAGTTGACATTTCTACTGACATTTTGGTCATGGTAGCCACTTCTTCTGCCCCATATGTTGATATTCAGGCAAGTACAGAGAGCCTTTCAGTGGCTGGGTTCACATGTTAAGGTGAGCAACCTTGTGAGTTTGCAATATTTTCCCTTGATGATCAGGCTTACAGTGATAACTCTCCTCCCTCACACCATCTCCTCCTCTCTCAGTTCTCCAGGCAGTATCCCAGGAAACACTGCAGGGAGAAATGACAGCCACGATCCTAGGTTGAGTCTGGCTTGCTGTGGCTGTCAAGCAGTCTCCGCTACTTCAGCCTTATGCCCTGAAGCACAGTAGAGAAGAAGCTGACCAGGCATCCTTGCCACCTGCCTGCTCCCGAGAAGACTGCTGCAGTAGGAAGCAAGGGTGCCTGATCCAAGTTGGGATATATTGTGAGCCTTAAATAAATAAATAAATAAGTAAGTAAGTAAGTAAATAAGTAAGTAAATAAATAAATAAATAAATAAATAAATAAATATCTCCTGCAAAATATATATGGGCAGCACTCCCCCAAACACTCATCTGAGAGAATTCCCACCTTTGTACATGTGGAGGCAGTGAAATCAGCTGCATGGCAGAGCCGCTCAACCGATTTGTCTGCTCACCCCACTTTCTCTCAATCACTTGTGAAAGAGGCGCCCCCAACCTGGTATTCTGGTATCCTCCCGTGCCTTTTTTGCAGGAGGCAGTGAAGAGAGGGCTGTGAGACTCGCCCCCCCCTTTCTTGCTCCTGCTTGTGAGGAGGTGTCCCCAAGCACAGACACCAGGCTCAGGACTCCCCTCTTGCAGAGGGAGTGAGAATGGGGGGGACCAGCAGGGAAATCAGGCATGTATTGCTGCTCCTTTCCACAGCACTGCCCACCTGATCACCTGCTCCTGCCCTAAAGAGCAGCACCTGTCATTGACAC